CCATCCCTGTCCACCCCTGCCCACCCCTGCCCGTCCCTGCCTGTCCCTGCCCACCCCTGGAGCCACAGCTGTGCAGAAGGAAGCGGCCCCGGAGCAGCCCAGGCTCGGAGCCAGTGGCCCTGGGGAGGTGACACGTCACCCTGTCACAGGCTGTGCTGTCACCCGCCCCCCCTGTCACAGCCTGTGCTGCTGTGCCCGTGGTGCTGAACCAGCCCCGGGCTGCTGGCTGGCCATGGAGGCATGGAACCGTGGGGAAAGCCCTTCAAGGGTCACTGAGCCCAGCCAGCCCCAGCTCTGCCCAGGCCACACTGTCCCCTGTCCCCAAGTGCCACAGCCACAGGGCTTTGAAACCCTCCAGGGATGGGGAGCCCACCCCAGCCTGGGCAGCTGTGCCAGGCATGGACAGCCCTTTCCAGGTGGGAATTGTCCCCAATATCCACCCTGTGCCAGGCATGGACAGCCCTTTCCAGGTGGGAATTGTTCCCAATATCCACCCTGTGCCAGGCATGGACAGCCCTTTCCAGGTGGGAATTGTCCCCAATGTCCACCCTGTGCCAGGCATGGGCAGCCCTTTCCAGGTGGGAATTGTTCCCAGTGCCCAATCTAATCGTGCACTGCCTCCTCCCTATCAGCAGGGCTCCGAGCAGAGGGGCACTGAATGCTCCCACATCCCTGAGAGCAGGGCTGGGGGCTCAGAACAGAGTTGGGGGGCTCAGAGCTGGGCTCAGGGGCTCAGAGCAGGACTGGGGGCTCAGAGCAGAGCTGGGGGGCTCCGAGCAGGGTTGGGGGCTCAGAGCAGAGCTGGGGGGCTCCGAGCAGGGTTGGGGGCTCAGAGCAGAGCTGGGGGGCTCCGAGCAGGGTTGGGGGCTCAGAGCAGAGCTGGGGGGCTCCGAGCAGGGTTGGGGGCTCAGAGCAGAGCTGGGGGGCTCCGAGCAGGGTTGGGGGCTCAGAGCAGAGCTGGGGGGCTCCGAGCAGGGTTGGGGGCTCAGAGCAGAGCTGGGGGGCTCCGAGCAGGGTTGGGGGCTCAGAGCAGAGCTGGGGGGCTCCGAGCAGGGTTGGGGGCTCAGAGCAGAGCTGGGGGGCTCCGAGCAGGGTTGGGGGCTCAGAGCAGAGCTGGGGGGCTCCGAGCAGGGTTGGGGGCTCAGAGCAGAGCTGGGGGGCTCCGAGCAGGGTTGGGGGCTCAGAGCAGAGCTGGGGGGCTCCGAGCAGGGTTGGGGGCTCAGAGCAGAGCTGGGGGGCTCCGAGCAGGGTTGGGGGCTCAGAGCAGAGCTGGGGGGCTCCGAGCAGGGTTGGGGGCTCAGAGCAGAGCTGGGGGGCTCCGAGCAGGGTTGGGGGCTCAGAGCAGAGCTGGGGGGCTCCGAGCAGGGTTGGGGGCTCAGAGCAGAGCTGGGGGGCTCCGAGCAGGGTTGGGGGCTCAGAGCAGAGCTGGGGGGCTCCGAGCAGGGTTGGGGGCTCAGAGCAGAGCTGGGGGGCTCCGAGCAGGGTTGGGGGCTCAGAGCAGAGCTGGGGGGCTCCGAGCAGGGTTGGGGGCTCAGAGCAGAGCTGGGGGGCTCCGAGCAGGGTTGGGGGCTCAGAGCAGAGCTGGGGGGCTCCGAGCAGGGTTGGGGGCTCAGAGCAGAGCTGGGGGGCTCCGAGCAGGGTTGGGGGCTCAGAGCAGAGCTGGGGGGCTCCGAGCAGGGTTGGGGGCTCAGAGCAGAGCTGGGGGGCTCCGAGCAGGGTTGGGGGCTCAGAGCAGAGCTGGGGGGCTCCGAGCAGGGTTGGGGGCTCAGAGCAGAGCTGGGGGGCTCCGAGCAGGGTTGGGGGCTCAGAGCAGAGCTGGGGGGCTCCGAGCAGGGTTGGGGGCTCAGAGCAGAGCTGGGGGGCTCCGAGCAGGGTTGGGGGCTCAGAGCAGAGCTGGGGGGCTCCGAGCAGGGTTGGGGGCTCAGAGCAGAGCTGGGGGGCTCCGAGCAGGGTTGGGGGCTCAGAGCAGAGCTGGGGGGCTCCGAGCAGGGTTGGGGGCTCAGAGCAGAGCTGGGGGGCTCCGAGCAGGGTTGGGGGCTCAGAGCAGAGCTGGGGGGCTCCGAGCAGGGTTGGGGGCTCAGAGCAGAGCTGGGGGGCTCCGAGCAGGGTTGGGGGCTCAGAGCAGAGCTGGGGGGCTCCGAGCAGGGTTGGGGGCTCAGAGCAGAGCTGGGGGGCTCCGAGCAGGGTTGGGGGCTCAGAGCAGAGCTGGGGGGCTCCGAGCAGGGTTGGGGGCTCAGAGCAGAGCTGGGGGGCTCCGAGCAGGGTTGGGGGCTCAGAGCAGAGCTGGGGGGCTCCGAGCAGGGTTGGGGGCTCAGAGCAGAGCTGGGGGGCTCCGAGCAGGGTTGGGGGCTCAGAGCAGAGCTGGGGGGCTCCGAGCAGGGTTGGGGGCTCAGAGCAGAGCTGGGGGGCTCCGAGCAGGGTTGGGGGCTCAGAGCAGAGCTGGGGGGCTCCGAGCAGGGTTGGGGGCTCAGAGCAGAGCTGGGGGGCTCCGAGCAGGGTTGGGGGCTCAGAGCAGAGCTGGGGGGCTCCGAGCAGGGTTGGGGGCTCAGAGCAGAGCTGGGGGGCTCCGAGCAGGGTTGGGGGCTCAGAGCAGAGCTGGGGGGCTCCGAGCAGGGTTGGGGGCTCAGAGCAGAGCTGGGGGGCTCCGAGCAGGGTTGGGGGCTCAGAGCAGAGCTGGGGGGCTCCGAGCAGGGTTGGGGGCTCAGAGCAGAGCTGGGGGGCTCCGAGCAGGGTTGGGGGCTCAGAGCAGAGCTGGGGGGCTCCGAGCAGGGTTGGGGGCTCAGAGCAGAGCTGGGGGGCTCCGAGCAGGGTTGGGGGCTCAGAGCAGAGCTGGGGGGCTCCGAGCAGGGTTGGGGGCTCAGAGCAGAGCTGGGGGGCTCCGAGCAGGGTTGGGGGCTCAGAGCAGAGCTGGGGGGCTCCGAGCAGGGTTGGGGGCTCAGAGCAGAGCTGGGGGGCTCCGAGCAGGGTTGGGGGCTCAGAGCAGAGCTGGGGGGCTCCGAGCAGGGTTGGGGGCTCAGAGCAGAGCTGGGGGGCTCCGAGCAGGGTTGGGGGCTCAGAGCAGAGCTGGGGGGCTCCGAGCAGGGTTGGGGGCTCAGAGCAGAGCTGGGGGGCTCCGAGCAGGGTTGGGGGCTCAGAGCAGAGCTGGGGGGCTCCGAGCAGGGTTGGGGGCTCAGAGCAGAGCTGGGGGGCTCCGAGCAGGGTTGGGGGCTCAGAGCAGAGCTGGGGGGCTCCGAGCAGGGTTGGGGGCTCAGAGCAGAGCTGGGGGGCTCCGAGCAGGGTTGGGGGCTCAGAGCAGAGCTGGGGGGCTCCGAGCAGGGTTGGGGGCTCAGAGCAGAGCTGGGGGGCTCCGAGCAGGGTTGGGGGCTCAGAGCAGAGCTGGGGGGCTCCGAGCAGGGTTGGGGGCTCAGAGCAGAGCTGGGGGGCTCCGAGCAGGGTTGGGGGCTCAGAGCAGAGCTGGGGGGCTCCGAGCAGGGTTGGGGGCTCAGAGCAGAGCTGGGGGGCTCCGAGCAGGGTTGGGGGCTCAGAGCAGAGCTGGGGGGCTCCGAGCAGGGTTGGGGGCTCAGAGCAGAGCTGGGGGGCTCCGAGCAGGGTTGGGGGCTCAGAGCAGAGCTGGGGGGCTCCGAGCAGGGTTGGGGGCTCAGAGCAGAGCTGGGGGGCTCCGAGCAGGGTTGGGGGCTCAGAGCAGAGCTGGGGGGCTCCGAGCAGGGTTGGGGGCTCAGAGCAGAGCTGGGGGGCTCCGAGCAGGGTTGGGGGCTCAGAGCAGAGCTGGGGGGCTCCGAGCAGGGTTGGGGGCTCAGAGCAGAGCTGGGGGGCTCCGAGCAGAGCTGGGAGGCTCAGAGCAGGGTTGGGGGGCTCAGAGCTGGGCTGGGGGCTCAGAGCAGGACTCAGGGGCTCAGAGCTGGGCTGGGGTGTTAAAGCAGGGTTGGGGGCTCAGAGCAGGGCTGGGGATTCAGAGCAGGGTTGGGGGGCTCAGAGCTGGGCTGGGGGCTCACAGCAGGACTCAGGGGCTCAGAGCAGGACTGGGGGGCTCAGAGCACGGTTTGGGGGCTCAGGGGCTCAGAGTGGGTGCAGAACTGGAGGGATTGACCCCACCCAGAGGCAGGGACAGCTGAGCCCTGCCCTGCTGTCAGTGGTGGCACAAGCCAGGAGCTGTGCACTGCGTGAGCAGCACAGGGGGTGACCAAGAGTTGCCGGGAAAGGGGAAAAACCAGAAAATGTTCCAGCAGAAACCCTGGCTGTGGCTGAACCTGGGGGTTGGCCGGGGGCAGGTGACCCCCGAGGGCACCTGGTGACCTGCTCTGTCCCCACAGCATCCTCAGAGGGACAGCAGCTCTGGGTACTCGGGGTGACCCCACCTCCCTGCAGCTCCGGGCTCCCTGGCAGAGTTTTCCCTCCGGGAGCCTCCCGCAGCTGCTCCACCGCCCCCGGGGGTTTGTTCTCACTTCAAACACTCCTCTCTTTCAGCGTCTGTAGCCCCCCAGCTATTTACAAGCACTGCAGAGTTTGCAGGGTGAAACTGTTTCACTACAAACTGAATTCCATCTCCAGCTTTGCCCCTTCTCTCCTCCAGCGTGGTTCTGACTGGAAGCCACGGCTCACTGGTGCAACTCGTTGCCTCAAAACAGTTTTTGACAGCTGCTCCACTTGCCCCAAAAAACACGGGAGAAAAGATTTCCTCTGGGGTTCACTTGGCATTGTTGAGCTTTCCTTGATTTTCAGGCTGGGCAGCAGGAGAGCAGACATGGCAGGAGAGGAGGGAAGGGTCCTGGAGCCCCAGAGCCCCCAGGTTCCTCTCTGATGCCCGTCCTCTCCTGCCTCTCCCCTCTCCCTTTCTGCATCTGTTGCTTCAACCTCTCCCCTTCCATCACACTGTCATCCTCCGGATGTTTCTTCTCCCTGCCATGTCTCCTTCTCTTCCTGCCTTTCCTCTCCCTTTCTGCCTGTTTTCTGTCTCCTGTCACGTTAACCCCTTCCCCTCCTGCTCCTGCTCCGTCCCTCAGGTATTTGATCATCGAGAACTTCATCCCTCCCGAGGAGAAGAACAAGATCATGAACCGCCTGTACTTCGACGGCGATGAGGAGCAGTGGAAGTTCCAGCCGCTGGTTCCCACGGGAGGGTGCGTCCCCGTGTCCCTGTCCCCAGGGCACAGCCCCTGTCCCTGTCCCTGCCAGCACACACGAGCGGCCCCGGGGCTGGGGGACCCTTGTAGGTGCCCAGGGGTGGGGATCCCCTCCAGGGCCAGCCCCTCCGCGCTGATGCAGCTCCCCGGGGCGCGGCGCCGTCGCTCACGGCCCCGCTCCGTGTGCTCCAGGAGCAGCTCCCAGATGAAGAGGCGCCCGACCTCGGCCGTGGGCTACAAGAGGCCCATCAGCCAGTACGCCAGGGTGGCCATGGCCAGGAGATCCCACCCCCGCTTCCGGGTACGGCACGGGACACCGCTGGGGCTGGGCGTGGGAAGGTGGTGGGTACATGGGGTGGGTGGGTGGATGTGGGTGGGGATGGAGTGGATGGATGATGGATGGACGGATGGATGGAAATGGATGGATGGATCCATGAGTGGATCCATGAATGGATGTGTGAATGGATGTGTATGAATGTGTGGATGGGTGGGTGGACGTGGATGGATGTGGATGGATGTGTGCATCATGGATGGATCCATGGATGGATGCGGATGGATGTGTGCATGGATGGATCCATGGATGGATGTGATGGATGTGTGCATGGGTTGGTGTATGGATGGAGGTGAATGGAGAGCTAGAGATGGATGGATGAAGGTAGATGGTGAGTGGATGGGTGGAGGGATGGATAACACTGGGAGAGAAGATGGAGTAACCAAGCTCACGAGGATCTGGGATGCACCAATTCAAGCTCCCTGGAGCTTTATCCTCCCAGCTCCAGTCTGGAGCTCCTGGCTCTCCTGCTTTGGAGAGGACAGGGCTGCTCAGCCCTGGGGCAGGCTGGGAGAGCCGGAGCAGAGCCTTGAGCCCCAGCCCAGTGCCAGGGCAGCCAGGAGAGGATCCCACTCCCCCGGCAGCGCGGGTCACCAGGGCTGGAGCCGCGTTCTCCCCGCGGTGACTCCCGTGCTGGCTGTCCCCGTGCCCCGGGCAGGCTGAGAACATCATGTTCCTGGAGCTGGACCTGTCCCCCCCGGCCATCTTTGAGTTTGAGCGCAGCAGGGACCCGGCGGAGCAGGACCCGCGGGCGCTGCACCTGGAGAGGCTGATGCACCTGGACAGCCTCCTGGAGCGGCCGGCGGCCTCGCGCGTGCGCAAGTCGCGCTCCTGGTGAGTGACAGCGGCGCGGGGACACGGCCGGGACGTTCTGTGGGGGACGGGGGGGACGGGGACAGGCTGAGCCTGCCATGAGCTGCTGGCTGTGGTCAGATTGAAATGCTGCTGAGGCTGTGCTTGGGAGCAGCATCGTGTGCAGCTCTGTGCAGGAGGGACCTGGAGCTGCTGAGAGAGCCCAGAGGAGACCCCGGAGCTGCTCCAGGGCTGGAGCCAGGCTGGGAGAGCTGGGGGGGCTCACCTGGAGAGGAGAAGGATCCAGGGAGAGCTCAGAGCCCCTGGCAGGGCCTGGAGGGGCTCCAGGAGAGCTGCAGAGGGACTGGGGACAAGGCCTGCAGGGACAGGAGCCAGGGAATGGCTCCCACTGCCAGAGGGCAGGGCTGGATGGGAGATTGGGAATTGGGAATTGTTCCCTGGCAGGGTGGGCAGGCCCTGGCACAGCTGGGGCTGCCCCTGGATCCCTGGCAGTGCCCAAGGCCAGGCTGGACATTGGTGCTGGAACAGCCTGGGACAGTGGCAGTGTCCCTGCCATGGCAGGGGTGGCACTGGCTGAACTGTAAGATCCCCCAACCCAAACCTTTCCATGATATTCCTATTTCCCAGACCCAAGGTGTTCTCCCACCCAGCAAGGGCTGCCCTTTGGTGCTGCCTGCGCAGCAACCAGCCAGGAAAAGGGCTGGATTTTGGGGAGGGCGGGAAGGCACGGCAGGGCAGCAGCCCCAGAGTGTCCGTGTGTCCCCCAGGTGCCAGACGCCGCGGTCGCTGCCGTCCTCCGCCACCCACGTGTCCCTGGCCTCCGGCTCCCCGTGTGCCGCCCCTCTGCCGGCCCAGCAGTGACCGCCCGGACGCCTCGTCCCGGACTGAGCCCCCGAGCGCCGAGGGGGGCCCGGCCCCGCGGCCCCAGCTCGTCCTTGTCCTCAGCTACTTTGTGTGTGTTTGTGCGAGACACGAACGGCCCCGGGCCAGGGCGGCTGCCCCTCCCTCCCTCTCTCCCTCCCTCCCTCTCTCCTCCCCTCCCCTCTCCCCTTTTTCCGCCCCCTCCCCCGATCCGGATCTGTCACTTTATTTATTTAACCTATTTATTTATGGAGCGGAGGCAGGATTTGTGCTCGGACTGATGGACATCCAGGCTGGCACCGTGCTGAGCCCCCCCAAGGTTTGCCCAGCTCCCAGCCCTCCCCGCATCGCCTGGCACAGAGCTGGGCACGGGGACAGCACCGTGGCACAGGGCTGGGCACGGGGACAGCACCGTGGCACAGGGCTGGGCACGGGGACAGCACCGTGGCACAGGGCTGGGCAGAGGGACAGCACCAGGACACTGCTGCATCCCGGCAGGAGGGGCATGGGTCCCTCTCCAGGGGCTTTGGCAGAAGCTGAGGCTGCCTTGGCCCCTGGTGCTGGCTTTGCTGTGCTGGATCCCAGGGAATTTGGAGATTTCTGCACGGATTGGGAGACTTGGTGGTGGCAGTGCCTTGTCAGAGTCCCCAGCGGGACTCCCCAGCCTGCACGGACTCTGGTGGCAGCAGGGACACCTCACCGACTGCGGGCACGGCTGGCACTGCAGGAGCACCAGCTCCACCCACAGGGCTTGCAGAGTCACCAGACCAAGTCACCCAAAGGCCAGGGCTTTGTCCGGCTGTGCCACGCCGTGGGGACACTCTGGGGACAGCCCCACCGAGGCTCGCTCCTGTCGCTGACTTGGGTGTGCAGCTCCTGACACAGCCCGAGGTGGAAAGGTGGAAATCTCCACCGCCTTCCAGCACCTCCGGAGGCACACCCAGCCTGGGAGCAGCGCTGCCTTGAGCTCCGGGCTGCCAGAGGCTCCATCTGCAGCTAAAGGCAACGGGGACATGTGGGACAAGGAGGTGACACCCAGGGTAGCGACGGCATCGCTGTCCCCTGGACAATGGCACATGGAAGTCACCTCTGTCACCTCCTGGATGGGACAAACTCCCTGGTGGGTTGTGGAGGGCTGGCTGTGGAATGGTGATGGGTAAGAGGGAAGCCACGAGGGCTCAGGATGGGATCCTGTCCCAGCAGCTGCAGGGACAGCGCTCGGCGTTCCTGTGGGACACGGCTCTCAGGTGGAGGGAAGCTGGTGAAGACCCTGGCAGTGCCAGGGCAGTGGCACTGGTGTCCCTGGGATGGTGGAGGTGGGGACATCCCTGTGATGGATGAGATCCTTGTGGATGAGGGAGCGACCCCTTGGCTCTCCTGGGTCAGCAAGGGAGGGCAGCTCAGAGAGGATTGCAGGTGAGGAATGTCCCCTGGCAGCAAAGGGAATTCCTTCACAGGGTGGGTGAGGTTGGAAGGGACCCTGGAGCTCTCAGGGATGTGGCCAGGTGGGTTTGGAGTCTCCCAGGGAAGGAGACCCCAGCGCTGTTCTGGGCAGGCTGCTCTTTGCTGTTGGACTGGTCCCTGCTCCCCGTGGTGCTCCTGCACTCAGGGCAGGGCTGAGGGAGGGCGAGGGAGCCAGGCACAGGCCTGGGATGGGGACATCCAGAGGGAAGCAGGAGCTGTGCAGAGCTCAGAGCCAGGCAGGTCCCTCAGCAGCCATGTCCCATCCACACGTGGCTGTGCTGGGCCATCCACTGCCCTTCCCAGCTGTCCTGACACATCCCTGCAGTGCCCAGGGGATCTCCTCCCCTTCCACCTAACACTGCCCTGCCTTGAGCTCTCCATCATTGCCCTCTGCTCCTTTCCCTTCCCTTTCCATCTGTGCCCCAGAACACCCTCTGTCCCTCCAAAACCTTTGTCCCCTTCTCCCCCAGGCTGGCACCTGCCTCGGGGGCACCCTGCCAGGCTGTAGCTCTGAGGACTGAGCTCCTCCCTCTGGCAGCAGCCAGCTCCAGGCTGTGCTCAGCCTGGCAGGAGGGAGCAGGGGACGGGGTTGGAGGAGTGACAGCTGGGTCCCTTCCATGCTGTGGGGTCAGGGCTGGCCACAGGGACCCTCCCAGCCAGGGGTGTCCCAGGGCACCCCCCAGGCCGAGCTGGCCCTGTGAAACCACCCCAGCCCTGGCCAAGGCCAGGCTGGGCACGGCTGGGAGCACCTGGGACAGTGGCAGTGTCCCTGCCCAGGACTGGGGTGGCACTGGATGAGCTTTAAAGTCCCTTCCAGTCCAAACCAGCCTGTGATTCCCTGATTCTGTGGAATACAGTGGTTGGGAGAGCTGGTTTGTTATTTAATTTCCTGGAAAGCATCTGGGAGTCGGGGTCAGGAAGCACAGGCTCAGAATGAGGGGAAGCCTGGGGGGCTGCAGGAGTAGAATTTCCTCCCCTCTTTGTTTTCTGGCAGTCCCAGTTGCCCTTCAGTGGATCAGCAGCTTGTGCAGCCCCAAAGTGATGAACCAGAGACCTTCTCTGGCCTCTGTTCTCACCCAAGGTGTGGGAAACAACTCAGGAGCTGAGGGTGTCCTCATGCCCCGGGCCATGGAGCATCCTGGGAAGGGTGGCTGTCCCCCAGGAAGGGTGGCTGTGACCGGGAAGGGTGGCTGTGGTCACGGAGGGATCCTCTGGAAGCCCTTCCAGCAGAGCTCTGGTCACGGAGGGATCCTCTGGAAGCCTTTCCAGCAGAGCTGTGGTAACAGTGGGATCCTCAGGAAGCCCTTCCAGCAGAGCTGTGGTCATGGTAGGATCCTCTGGAAGCCCTCCCAGCAGAGCTCTGGTGACAATGGGATCCTCAGGAAGCCCTCCCAGCAGAGCTGTGGTCATGGTAGGATCCTCAGGAAGCCCTCCCAGCAGAGCTGTGGTCATGGTAGGATCCTCAGGAAGCCCTTCCAGCAGAGCTGTGGTCATGGTAGGATCCTCAGGAAGCCCTCCCAGCAGAGCACAGGCCGGAGCCGCCAGCGCAGGGGATGGGATGAGGCACTTCCAGCACCCAGGGGCCGCTCCGGAGCCTCCCTCGCCCTCCCTCGCTCCAGCGGCGGCGCTCCCGGAGCCGTCCCAGCGCACACGGCAGGGCGGGGAGCGCTCGGGCTGTCTGTCGGTGCCGTTCGCTGTCCGTGTGTCCCAGCGGGGCTGTTCCTCGGGGCCAGGGGCTGGGCCGGGGCTTCCTTTTGTTGTTGTTGAAGTGTTCTTTTGGGGTTCAGGTTTGGCCGTTTTTCCGCGGGGAGGGGGGTGCGGGTCTGTTCCGGGTTCATGGACAAGGCGAGGGCCTCGATTAGGACCAAATTTTCGTGCCTGTTGCTCTGGTGATTTATTTAGAAATCAAAAGTTTACTGTCTGGTGGCCCATCCTTGTCACTCTATACATAGGACTATACAGGACATATTATAAATATATATATATTATACATAGTGTCTGGAGAGAGGCCGTTCCTGGCGGGATGGACACTCCTCACTGTGCTGTAATGTAGCTTCGACCCCGCGCTGGGAGCGCCCTCCAGGATGGCAAGGACACAATAAAGGAATGAATGAGCATCACTGCCCGGGCTCCGCAGCCTGCTTAGCCCGGCCGGGCTGGGAGCGGCTCTGGAGGAGGGAGGGAGGGAGCGAGGCTTCCTTCCCCCGGGGTTTCTGCGCAGCTTTGTGTTCCAGGAGACACGGAGCGCTGGCACAAGCCAGGCAGCTCCAGCTCGGGGACACCGGGAAGGGCCCCGGCACAGCCTGGGGCATCGCACGGACACAGCTGGGCTGGGGGGTGGGAGAGGGGAGAAAGGGGGAGATGGGAAAGGGGGAGATGGAAAAGGAGAGATGGGAAAAGGAGAGATGGAAAAGGGGGAGATGGAAAAGGGGGAGCTGGAAAAGGAAGAGCCAGCCAGGAGATCCCCAAGGCCCCAGTGGGTGAGGGCAGCTCTTTCACAGGGAGGAGAGAAGAGCCCGGGGGTAAAAGCAGAAATAAGATGAAACAGGGACACCTAGAGCCCACAGGAGAGCAAGGGAGGAGCAGGGACATCCAGGTGCACCCAAGCTGCTCTGGAACAGGAGCTGGTGGGGCCTCACTGCCTCAGGAGCTGCAGTTTGGAGAGGGGAAGGGCCAGGTCATGTCCAAGGGCTGCTGCATTTTCCCCTTGTTGCAAATGGGAAAATCCCCATGGCTCAGGCATTAAAGCAGCTCTGAGAAAACACTGCAAAGGCTGGGCTGGGCTGGGCTGGGCTGGGCTGGGCTGGGCTGGGCTGGAAAGGACCTCAAAGGCCATCCAGTGCCACCCCTGCCCTGGCAGGGACACTGCCACTGTCCCAGGTGCTCCCAGCCCCAGTGTCCAGCCTGGCCTTGGGCACTGCCAGGGATCCAGGGGCAGCCCCAGCTGTGCCAGGGCCTGCCCACCCTGCCAGGGAACAATTCCCAATTCCCAAGATCCCATCCATCCCTGCCCCTGGCAGTTTAATTCCCAGCTCTGAGGTTCTCCACAGCAGAGGGAGTTAAAAGCCCTGTGGATGTGGCACTTGGGGACAAGGGTCACTGGTGGCCTTGGCAGTGCTGGGGCCGTGGTTGGGCTCTGTGGTCTCCCAGGGCTTTTCCAAGCCAAAGGAGTCTGTGATTCCAGGCACGCAGAGATTTGTTCTGTTTCCCATGGAAAAGGTCACTTGGATCAGGTGAGTCACAATAAATGCCACTGAAAAGGGACAAGTATGAAAAGGGAAGATGAAAGGTCCCTCAAAGGCACTGGATGTCCCCAAATCACCTGGTCAGATTTAACACATGCAGAGGGAATTTTGGTGGAGTGGCCTCTGGGCTGCCAGTGAGGGGTCTGAGATCTCACAGAGAAGAGGCTGAGAGTCCAAACAGGACACTTGATAAACAGGATAAACATGAGGAATGTCTTGAAAATGGGGAAAGGGGAACTTGAGGGGTTCTCTGCTCAATTTAACTTCACCCCCTGAAAGGGCTGAATGGATCAACAAAATCCACCTGAAAATCCTGGCAGGGGAACACGTGAAGGTAACAACCAAGGTGGGCTGGTCCAAAGCAAATGCCACCAAATGCCACCACAGCAGCTCCATGCTCGGCTGGAATGCAAGACCCTGCAGGTGTGATGGCACAATGTGGGACAGAATGAGGGATTTTGGTGAAATCTGACACTCCCCCCCCCAGGAGAGGCCTGAGTGGAGCTAACAATGGGATTATTCCAAGAGAAACAGGTCACAGGGAGGCAGAGACAAAGGGGATTTGTTCTCCTTCAGCCCAGCCTTCCTGGGGATTTTCCTGCTGGGGAAAGCCCTGCTTTTCAACCAGGAACGGGAGCATTTGTGATGGTTTTGTCAAAATCAACAGCAATGATGTGAAAACATGAAAGAAACAGGGTGATTTCCACCTGGGAACAATGTGGAAAGCAGAGGTCATGGTCTGCCAATACCAGAAATGCAGCTGCAAAAGGAAGGGACAAGAACTCCTGGTCCTGAAACACAGCAGGGAATCTTTAGATGAGAATTTGGGACACCAAACTCCCCAAGGCTGGCACTGGAGGAGTTCCCCTCTGTAGGACACACAGATTCCAGGGGAGGTTTTAAGGGCAGATGGGACTGATGGCACCAAGGCCATCAAGGGCACAGGATGGTGGGACAAGACCTGGACATCCCTCCCAGTCCTGCTTCCCGTGGGTCTGGGGTTTGAAGTGACAGCCTGTGAGCACAAGGCCCCTGAGGGACAGTGACAGATCAGAGCATGGCCACAGTCAGGAGCAGAGGTCAGGCATGGAAAGCCAAAAAAGGGATTTTCACACCAAGTGGAGGTGCCAAAGCCATTCTGAAGTGCCAGCTCTGGCAAAGTTCACAGCACAGCCCGTGGGGACAGAGGGTGAGCTCGGGCAGGTAAAAATGTTCCAATCACCAACAATCCTCTTTGCTTATTCCCAGCTTTTTTCTGCCTCTGTCAAGGTCAGGATTGAAGCTCTCGAGATGGAATTTCACATTCAGACTCAGGTGTTTATTATTTCCCATCTCTGTTACAAGTTGTGAGTTCTGCAGCACTCTACTAACAAGCTACAAAATGGCCAACCATCTTTCCCTACAGGGTCTTTTAAGGCTAAACTATCCAATTAAGGAATGACACCTAAATTATTTTCACTTTTAACCCAATAACTGATCCCTCAAAGTCCACAGGGCAGACTTTTCTGTCCAACTACAAAATACCACCCAAATCCATGAAGAAGGAAGGTGAGGAAGAAGGAGCAGCCTCCACCCTAAAACCTCCATCTTGCCCCATATATATGACAATATCCTAAAACCCCAAACTCTTAAATGTTCCACCCTGTGTGTAGATATCACACACTTCTAACCAATTCCACACCCACAATCCCAGTGCTATCTATCAATTTTGGAAACCTTTTCCAAGGCCTCAGGTAAAATATGGTATTTTCTTGTGGCTCTGTGCCCTTCAGCACAGAAAGTTCAAAATTCTCAGCATCCAGGGTTCCAACATCTCTTCCCTTGCAAATTCTGCAGGCCTGGTTCCCAGTGGGGCTGTTGGGCTCAGCTGCTGGGCTGGGCTGATGGCCAGGAGGGGTTCCTGGCTCCCTGCTGTCCCTCCCAGCTCCAGGAGCAGCGTGCCTGGATGGCCTCAGCTCCTGCAGCCATCAATATTGATGGCCCAAGCTCATAAAATCTGCAAGGCAAGGAATACCCGGGGGGGTCTGGGCCTGCAGTTCTGCCTGGGCTGGTTGGTGGTGTTTGCTCCTTCCTCAGGGCCACATCAGCTTCTCCCAAACATCTGCTGTGGTTCCAGGGCTGGGGACATTCCCTGGGTGCAGCAGGGAGGGGCATCCCCTCAGATCCCAGAGCTCTTTGTTTCCCTGGAAGAACCTCCCCTTGCAGTCCTACAGAACACCACAGGTTTTATGAGAATGTTGAACAAGTTTATAGGAATATGATTTGAAGGGCTCTGTCCCATCTGCTGACAGTTCAGAAAAAAAAAAAATTGTAGTTTGCCATTGAAATCTAGAAAATTGAGGATAAATTCACTACAATAATTGTTGTTTCTTTCTTAGTACAATTCATGGTACTTTTCCTGCCATGAATTTAAAATTTATACCTTAGGTTGCCCAGAGAAGCTGTGCCTGGAAGTGTCCAAGGCCAGCCTGGATGAAGCTTGGTTTAGGTTGGACATTGTGAAAGGTTCATGCCCAGAGGTGCTGGCACTGCCCAGGCTGCCCAGGGGATGGGCACGGCCCCGAGGCTGCCAGAGCTCCAGGAACATTTGGACAATGCTCTCAGGGATGTGCAGGGTGGGATCCTTGGGGGTCTGGGCAGGGGCTGATCCCTTTAGGTCCCTTCCAGCTCAGGACATTCCATGATTCCTGCTGCTAAAGCAGTGCTAAAGCTTATTAGCATCTTTGCAAAGTGCTCTGGGATTTATTGCTTATACAGAATTCCTGAAGGGCCAAATGTTTCACTCCTGAGTGGTTTTCAAAGCACGAGGGGAGCCACAGCCACCAGGAATGTTCTGTGTGCACTTCCCAAGAGAGAAGCTGTGTGGGAAGCCTTTGGTGCACAGAGGGTTTGGGGATTATTTTGGGGTTTTTTGTTGTTCCCTGACGCTCTCATGACACCCTGTGGGCTTCCCCCTGTACTACAAACAGCCACGAATTCCACTCTTTTCCTCCTCAATGGCTCTTCACTTCTGTCCCTACATTTTTCTCAGTGACTTTTCCTCCAGTCTTTAATGGCTTTCAGCAAAGGGATCTGGTCACTGATGTGGCTGCCCCTGGATCCCTGGCAGTGCCCAAGGCCAGGCTGGACACTGGGGCTGGGAGCACCTGGGACAGTGGTTGCCAAGGCATCACCCAGAGCAGCTGTGGCTGAAGGAAGAACAAACTTACACGGGTGGGGAAAAGAGAGCAGTGTCCCCCCCAGGAACAGCCCCAGCACTGCCCAGGGCGGGTTGAGGCCTCTGAGTGCCCCACACCCAGCAGAGCTTTGAATGCTGAGGACAATAAATTGAATGGAGGCCTCCAGAGTGGGCATCATAGAGACATGGAAAGGCATAGACCCATGGAATGGTCAATGGAAGGGACCTCAGAGCCCAGCCAGTGCCACCCCTGCCATGGCAGGGACACTGCCACGGTCCCAGGGTGTCCCAATGTCCAGCCTGGCCTTGGGCACTGCCAGGGATCCAGGGGCAGCCACAGCTGTGCCAGGGCCTGCCCACCCTGCCAGGGAGGAATTTCCTCCTAATATCTGAATTATTTACAGCCCCTCTGCCTAGGTGTCCACTGGAATGTTTTCTGTTGGGAAGAGCATGTGGTGCTCTGCTGTGAGCTGTTGGGAGAGGGAACTGAGCCAGGACTGATGAACTGAGCTGGGCTGAGCTGAGCTGAGCTGAGCTAGAGTGATGAACTGAGCTGGGTTGAGCTGAGCTGGGCTGGGGGGGAAGAACTGAGCGGGGCTGAGCTGAGCTGGGCTGGGCCAGGAGTGATGAACTGAGCTGAGCTGAGCCAGGAGTGATGAACTGAGCTGGGCTGAGCCAGGAGTGATGAACTGAGCTGGGCTGAGCCAGGAGTGATGAACTG